TATCTCTCAGTAAGGCTCCACTGTATTCCCGCTCATAATGACCACATTTCCCAAAAGGCAACAAGGCCCCACCCAGAAGCCCCATTTCCTTCTGCTGAAAAACAAAAACAGAAGTACATTAAAGTTTTGATCTGATCGGTGCCACCGGAGCAGAACCAGACTTCCAGATCCATCGGTTAATCTTGAGAGCTGGTAGCCCACCCACGTGGACCTCCGAGCAAACGCACATGGCCGAAGGTCCGGGGCTCCATCTGAAGTTCAACGGGACATTTTTCATCTTTTTCAACCGACCAACGACAAAGACCTCTGAGCGGGGACGTGCTGGTAAGTAGAAGTTAGTAGCTACATATAAGCATGTTGTTAAAATGAGGTTTAAGAGTTTAGAACATTGATTGTGGGCTTCGTCGCTGCAGGGTACGTCTTCAGAAACAGAACCGAGTCAGACTGGAAACGAACCGAGCTGCTCCCGTTCTGCAGAGCCCGGTAAGTAAAATTTAGTAGCTACATATATAGTACTTAAAAAAAAAAAAAAAAAAGTTAAAACCAAAACAACTGGACTTTATTTGTCAATGAAGAAGTTTCTCATCTGAGGAGCTTTCTCAATTCAAAGAAACAAGGAGTGTGGGATTCAAGCTATAAAGCAGAGGTGTTCTGTAAGCTTGCATAATGCAGATTGACACATGCAGATTAGAGCTCTCAGTTCTAACCTGAGCCCTAAGCCTGCCACCCGACCCGAACTTGGGGTGGGCCGGACCATGATAATATGCTGGATGGGCGGGCCGGTGTCAGGCTTTTGATTGGGTCAGGCTCAGCCGTGATCCAATTATACGACAACATGGCCTGCCATACTTTCACCAGCCGTACGCAGCCATTTCACCACGAGTTGACCGGCCTTGAAAGAGGTAAAAAAAGTTCAGTTAAGCTTCAGATGGGACTGTACTGCCAGGAAGCGATCCATCGCCCAAATGGACGTTCATTCAGTCGCTGCACTCAGCGGACACGTGCGGCCGATGACCCAAACAGGTGAGATCCTAAAGCAGACATGACAGAGCAGGGTCCGTGTCTGAATAATGCAGAATGCAGGTAGAAACAGGGTTTAAATGCTCTTTATCGGCCATGAACGGACAAACACACCCTCAGCTCCGATTTTCTGCACCTTTTATTCAGCCGCGCATCCCCGACCGTTAACCAATTAAAAATTTCGGAGGGGTTTCCTGGTTCTGGCCTGTAATTACTATTAATTCGTCGGGTCGGGTTTGGAAATGTTGAATGCAGGCTGGGGCCGGGGGATCGGATTTTTTGGGCCTGAATGCAACCCTAATGCAGAATTGACCTCTCAATCTTCATAATAGAGGATCGTTAGGGTCTTTGTTAGTCCACCCACAGAGAGGCCACTCTGGTCACATGGTTGAAATTCCTGATAGGTGTGAAACTGGTTGGGTATCAATCCTAAAGCTGCATTGTAAGTTTTTGAAAGCTGGAATCTGAGATCTCCTCTGTTTAAAGATAGTTTCTCTCTTTTTACATAGATGGCTTCCTTCACTCCCCTCTCAAACCATTTGTCCTCTTGGTCCAAAATGTGGACATTCTGGTCCTCAAAGTAGTGTTCCTTATCCCTGAGGTGTAGATGAACCGCTGAGTCTTGTCCTGAGGAGCTGGCTCTCCTGTGTTGAGCCACGCGTCTGTGAAGAGGCTGTTTAGTTTCTCCAACGTAGAGATCTGGACAGTCCTCGCTGCACTGGACTGCATTCATCACACCACTCTGTGTGTGTGTTTGGGTTGTGAATTGAGAAAGCTCCTCGGGTGAGAAGCGAAACATCTTCAGTTACAAATAAAGTCCAGTTGTTTTGGTTTTAACTTTTTTGTGGGGGGGGTTACCATGTCCTGGATGACTGAGAATCTTAATCAGTGCATATACAGTACAGTATGTATGTAGTTAAAATTACGTAGGTTTAAGAGTTTAGAACATTGCAAGAGTGTGGGAAGGGTTTCTAAAGCCTTAATATAGTATATACTGTATAAATACCCAAATAAATAGAACGTTGTTACTTCGCAGAATTTCACTTCCTGTGGGCGGGTTCAGAACCGAACCCCCGCAATAAATGAGGGACTAGTGTATCTTTAAGTCAACAAGTTGCTGAGAAGGAATATTTAATACCAAGAATAAACACACAAAAAACAAAGTTAAAACAAAAGTATTAATTTTCTTCTCTTTTTTAAATGTAATTGGATATCCAATAAGCTGGCCTAATTTTATGTCTTTAACTTTATGCTTTAAATAGGATACTTAAATCTTCAACAATTAAAAGAACTCACATAGGCCTGCAGAGTTCAGAGATTTAATTTTGACAAAATTGTTTAAAAAAAAAATTGTTTTCCTTCTTTACACAAATATGGTATTTTCTTTTGTATTAAAATATAAAAATATCAATAAATATTAATAATAGTTACATTTTTAATTTTAAAATATCCCCACTGGCTGGAAAAGCCCTCTCAACAAACTTGTGGTCCACGGGCCACCAAGTTGACAGTACAGTTGTAGCAGGTTTTGCGGCTTCCGTGGCAAAAATGGCCGTTTTTATTGCAAAGGTTGCAGACCCCTGACCATGACCAAGCATTTCTATATTTAAAAACTACCAGTGACTTAAAATGACTGATTCAGAGAATTCAGAGGATGCACCACAGCCAGTAGAAAACTGTTGGGAAGAACCTGTGGAGCAGCGGTGTCCTGATCATTTTAACACGGAAAGATTTTTCAGATTTGCCACAATCTAATGTCAATGGTGGCGTGGCACATGTTGAAGTGGGAATTAATGGTGGTCTGATCATTCATGGTAAACTAAAGGTCTCAGCAGGGTCTTAAGATGTCTCAGCATGTTCCTAACATTTTTACTATTTCAAACAGCTCTTCAGATCCATTTCCTGCTGTAAAATGTAGTCCAAACATATTTTGAAATGCCACTTTTTTCTAAGATTTTCTTCCCATTTTCTGACAGAGTTCTTAGTTATTGTGGCTTTGTTGAATAGAGATGTTCCTCATAAATCATCTCCGTCATTGACACGAGCCAGTGAATTGTGGCTAAAAGCCCAGAGACGAACTAAAGCCTCACGTCAAAAACATGCAGCTGAAGCTGCGTTTGCACAAGTGAAGCAAATCAAACAGGAAACAAGTTAAGTAAAAGTTAAACGAGTAAAGCAGACAAGTAAAACACGCAGGATGACCAGGATCGGACACCCCGGCTATAAATAATGCGCTGTTAGTTCCATGACGAACCCAAATGATCCGAGCAGATAGTTTTTAATGTAAAAGGACACAAATCATCACAAATATAAAAGTTGGTCATGGTGCAAAGCTAAAATCCTGCAGATGTTTGTAGCTGTAAACGACTGCTCAGACTAATTTTAGCAGTTTGTTTTTTTTAAAGAATGGGAGCCGAGCACAGCTGATTAAAGACGGGGCACGTTTGTGCACACAACAATATTGTTACTCGACACTTTCTACAACGAGAGGCCTTTGATGGAAGGGGTTCGTTTTTGTCAGGACACCACAAATAAACTTCCTCAAAACGTTGATCAGAACATTATAAAACTTTTCAAAGGAATATCGTCACATCTGCCATTAACAATCTTCATTTAGATCCCTCTAGGTTTTAAAATATATGAAACAATTAGAATAAAAGGGGAAATATGGATGTGTTTAACATCCAATGGAGCCTTTATTTAACGGTCTTGTGAGCAGAAGTGACCCCCATCAAGCCTCAGGGATGAATTATTAAAGATCATATTTCAAAAAGCTCCAACAAACATTTTCACTCCTGACAACATGAAGGTGTCCTGAGCTGTATCCCATCACTACAACTCACTTAACTACATTATACCACAAATTCAACGTTTCAATCACTGCTTCATTCATTCATTCATTCATCACCAAAACTAACATATTTATATTTATATGAACATTAAAAAGCTTAAGTTGTGGATCAGAAACAAACGTGAGGACCAGGATCCCTTAGTTGTTAAAAAAAAAAGTTCTTAGCCTTGACACTGGCTTCTAAAATATTCCTAATCAATTAGGTTTTTAAGCAAATAGTGCAAGAAAAACTCAAAATAACACAAAGTAATCAAAAAGGACAAAAGCTGACGAGGGAGCAAATAAAGAAAATCTAAGGAACAAACAAATATAGGAGGACAAACAGTCCAACCTGAGCACGAGTGAGCCGGGAGTGTAAATCTGTCAGGAGGGGTGATGACAGAGTGAGTGCAGCTGGGCAGATTAGTAAACGAGGGACAGCTGAAGAAGCTGAAACGGAGTTGTTCAAGCTAAAATATGTCGAGCACTAGCCGAAAATGTGAAAAGGCCTGCCAAACACAAACAAGCCAAGAAACTAGCAAACGCTAGGTTAGCAAAAGATAAACGGAGCGTGTTTGTTCTATCAAATTTAAAACAACAAAGTTTATGAAATAACTGGAGAGCTTTACAGGCAAAATATTTGTAAATAAATAGTTACATATTTTATAAAATTATAGAAAATTACACAAACCAGGAGGCTAAGCAGCATTCACCTCCTTACTGAACATTTGGATAAAAGAATGATTAAAAACGAGACAGTACGATTGTAAATAACGTATAGCGAAATATAAAATAATTAGTCTGAATGCTGAGTCAGCATTCGCACAACCTGGCAAAGACAGCAGCAGTCCACTTGGCCTCACATTATTAGCTCATTAGCAGGTCAGACATAAAACTATTCTCCCAAACTGAGACCTATCTACAACAGGTAAGATATTAACTGTTCATAACCTTGAAGCCCACTTCAAGTCTGAGCTTTTAGACAAGAACACATCGACAACAAGACTGGGGTTGTCTCTTCTTATCATTCTGACATCATCAACACCCTGATCCAGCAGCACAGCACCAGTCAGAACAAATCATGTCTGTAAAAAAATAAAAACAAGCTTGTCTGCGTCAAGCCCCCCCCCCCCTCACACCCCCTCCATACCTCTCATTGGATTCTGGATCCATAAGATGCCTCCGATCAGGTGAGGAGACTGACCGAGCATCCCGACTCTTAATGTCCCAGAACGAGCGCCTTAATTAAAACCCATCCAACGAGGAGGAGGCGCGTGACTTCCTCTCTCCGTGTCCGAACACCTGCTGCCACAAGAGGAGGTCTGAGCACGAAAACACAACGATAACCTTCACCGTCCTCCCCGTTAAACGTCTGAGCTTCTCCCTCCAGAGAACAGCAGGTGAACCCGGGAGGTGAAAAAACCTGTTAACCAGCTTTAACCAGGCGTCTCCAATCCGAGCGCGCCACAGCAACAAAAGCAGAGGCGTTCACGGACTCCGTGGTGCGTTTACGTGCACAGCCGAGGCGGAGAATGCCAGAAGGTCTGTGTCATTTCATCTGTAGGGAGAATTAAGATCTGACGGCGTGTTCCTGCTGCCACAGACCGCAGCCAGTGGAAAACCACCCAAAATATTGAATGAAATAAAACAAACGCGTCACCTCAGGGCGAGCTTACCTTCGACAGCCATGCTGCTACTCCTCACCGCCAGGCATCACTTTCAGAGACAGGAGGAGAAATAAAACTCAGCGCCTCCTCATTCCACCTTGTTCGGCGTGTTTTCATCACTTTGCTGCGGGCGAGTCGGAGCGCGCACAGCTGCTGCTGCCGCGCCGCAAAGCACTCTGGGAAATGTAGGCTCGACGCTTTCTGTCACTGTTTCTGACTCGAGATGATTAAAATGATGAAATAAACAAGGAACAAGAAAGCCAGATCTTTTTTTTTTTTATTATTATTTATTATTGCACAAGTTAAATTTGTATCTATTTACTTTTATTTAGACTCATGTTTGCAAAAGAGAGAACATTATATAAAATAACAACAAAATAATTATAAAATAATATATTGATATTTAAAAAGGAGCAGAGTTTAAAACTAAACCTAAAACAAGAACAGGTTTAAATTAGGATTTTATTTTTCATTTTCTTTAAAATATTTTTTGGACTGTTGCCGTGCAACTTTATAGCTTTTGTCAAAAATTAACAAGATTTGAAAGCCTAAATTCAGTTTGATTCATTTAATTTTATTTATGTAAGAACAAAAGTAAAAAACAGGACATCATAAATCCAATCACAGTAAAATATTTCCATTTATAAAACAATATAATCACATACATACTTTATTATTATATATGATAACTGAAAGCTCTAACTCCCATTTTAGATGCTGTAGGAACCACAAGTAAACCTGCAGTCTGGGAGCAAGGTGCTCTGTTAGGAAAATATATATTTAATGACAGCTGAAGAAAGACCAGAAGTCCATCACCCTGCTTGGAAAATCAGGTAAAGAAAATAAATGAATGGAATAAATTTGAGTTTGGTCATGAGTTAATGACAAAATTCTCATTATTGGAAAAAAGCAGAGTGCTTTCTGACATACCAGAGAAAATACATCTTTCGCAGAGAGCTTTGGTGGCACGGACTGTGTTTTTCATGCACTCTGCAGCTCTAATGAAACATTACAGATACATAAAAAATAAAATAAAAACTGGTGATCTTTGCACAGTATTATTTAAACAGCTTGTTGCTGAATGATTAAAATAAAATAAGATTTTTAGATGATAGAAACTGAAGCAAAACACCAGCCTCAGGAAAAAAATCTTTGTATTTTTTTACATGGACATAAATCAATTTGCACCAAACACCCTGATGTTTGACACTGAGGTCAAACTTTACTCTTTTTATTCTGTGTTTTACAACACCTTCAGTAAATACACCTCATCTGAAAGGCTTCAGAGTCTGCAAACGTCATTTAAGGAACTGTGTTGCTCATAAAGCTTGCTGTTGGTTTCATCAGTGTTAAAAGGGCAGTGCAGATTTTATTATTTATTAGGAACTAACATCTTATTTGTTGTAGATATCTCACTGAACCAGGTCATTTTGAAGAATTTGTTTTAACTGGATTGATGTTTATTTAAACCACTATGATTATCCATCCATCCATCCATTATCTTTACCCGTTTGTTCCATTTTGGGTCACGGGGGTCGCTGGTGCCCATGTCCAGCTATCACTGTGCGAGGGGCGGGGTACACCCTGGACGGGTCGCAAGTCCATCACAGGGCCACATATAGAGACAAACGAGACAAACAACCATTCACTTTCTCACTCACACCTAGGGACAATTTAGAGTTACCAATCAGCCTAACCACTATGATTAATCTTTTTTTTTTATTTAACCTTTATTTAGACAGGTAGTCTGATTTAGATGCAAGGACTCATTTTCAAGAGAAACCAGTTTTGAGATTTGAGTTGTTTTATGATTGTCACTTTAGTTTTGCCCTCACTTATCAAAATTAAATATGATTTCTCCAAAAAGGACATTCAAAGTGCTATCCAGAACAGATAAGATATAATAGTTCATAACCACCCCACAAAATTCTACTTTAAAAGAGCTGAACTGTCACTTTAAATGATAAGAACATTCCTTCAGTCCCACTAACAAGGAAATCCAACAGGTTGGACAACCACATGGCTGCAGGGTTACATACCGCAGCTCCTGCATGTCATTCCTGTGGAAACTCCCTCGAATGTTTTATTGTGACACTTTGCTAAGAAATTACCTAAAAATAACATTTTTTACCTTTTGTTCCAGTTTTTTCCCCCACTTAAGTGAAGTATTGTTCTTTTGTATATATATTTTTGCCATCATGTTGTTAATGAACACAAAAATTACCCAAAAAATAGCCCACATCAAGCCTGGTCATGTGATTATTGTATTGTATACAGGTTTAACAAGTGAGGGTCAAACAAAAGTGGCGCAACACATCCTGTCATGCCTCACTGTGCCGGTGTGGCCCACTGGAGACTCATTGTGTTGGTGTGGCCCACTGGAGACTC